CCACCCCTCCTGCTCCTGCCTTTCCTTATGTGGCTGCTCCAGCCATTCTTCCAGTCTCAACCCAGACACCCCCTCCTCTGAGGAGCCTTCCCTGATTCCCCAGGCTCCATCATGCCTCATTCCTCTATTTATCCGCTTCCCCCACAAGACTGTGAGCTCCTGGGGACCAGGGACAAATGTGTGGTAGTCATTGTTACAGCTGCATGGCCAGCACAGGGCCTGACAAAAGCGTGAGAGGCAGTGGGCTCGATGGTTAGAGCTCAGACTTTGGAGCCGCACTGTCTTGGTTCTAATCTTAGCTCTTCTTTTAACTTGCTGTTTTGATCTTGGACATGACCTGTCTGTGCCTTAGCATTTCTATCTGTGAAAGGGGGTGGCGGTAATATCTGTCGTGGGGTTGCCGTGAGGAGCTGTGAGTTACATGTGCACTGTCCGGCACAGTGAGTCCTACTTAGCGTTGGCACACGCCCCGTCATCTAGTTCTCGCGCTGTGAACCTTGAGCGAGCCCTCGTTTCTCTCACTGTCACAAGCACTGAGACGCATTCTGACTCCCCAGGTGGGTGCTGTGCGCCAACCACACGGAGCCCGTGAAGGGTTTCCTTGGCCGGTTCCTGAGGCGGAAGCTCATGGAGACGGAGATCAGCGGGCGGGTGCGGAACGTGGAGCTGGTGAAAATCATCGACTGGATTCCCAAGGTCTGGCAGCACCTCAACCGCTTCCTGGAGGCTCACAGCTCCTCGGACGTCACCATAGGTAGGGGGAAGCCAGGCAGGAGCGGTGGGTGGGCTGGCTGCAGGGGGTGCTGAGCTCAGCTCCTCCGAGACTGCCCTGGGGCCCTGGCCAGGACAGCACTTTGCAGGCAGAAGTCAGCTGGACCCTGTTCTGATCATGCAGATAGAGAAGGAGGCAGAGGGACGGCCACAGCCCAAGACAGACCCCAGACCACCTCGCCCACATCCCTGGCTGTGCCCCTCCCCTCTTGCCCTGCCCAGTGCACTGGGGCTGATCAGCAGCGAGAGATGGTCCAGCCTGGGCTTTGCAGAAACTGCCAGCTCAGCGAAGGGCCCATCCCAAGGCTCCCCCAAGCAAAAACCATGCTGTGGGACTTGCTCTGCTTTGAAAATAAAATAAAATGTTACCAACATTCCTGGAGCTTAAGGATTTAGAACAGAGGAAAAAAGATCATCGATTATCCCACCCTCCTGACTTATTATTTAATTTGAGCTTATTTTTTGCCCTAGTCCATTCATAGATATTTTGTGCCATTGCCATCAGAGTATACCCACGGTATATGCTTTTCCTCTTCACTTCACATTGTCTCGTGAACATTCTGCGTTGCTGCTCCAGTTTTATAATTATTTTTAAAGGCTGGAAAATAATCACATGTGGGTACGCCATCATTCACTCACCATTTCTGTTCTCTTGAACATTTAGTGCGTTTGCATTTTCAAAGGTCAGGATTAATACCACAACGAACATCTTTCTCCATAAAGCCTCTCCTGCCTTTCGGGTGACTTCCTAAGAGAGGTCCAAGGGTGGGGTTGTAAAGCCAAAGTGTCCCGCTCCGTGCCCACCACCCGGCAGTTGGAATTTCTGCTGTCGCTCAGAAAATCCAGGGTCCCTCCTCTGACGGGTGCTAGCACTGTGGCTTCTCCTGACCCCTGTCTTCAGTTCAGCTCTGATTTTGATTTGGTCCCCAGGCCCCCGCCTCTTCCTGTCATGCCCCATCGACGTGGATGGCTCCAGGGTGTGGTTCACCGACTTGTGGAACTACTCAATCATCCCCTATCTCCTGGAAGCCGTCCGAGAGGGACTCCAGGTGAGAAACACACTGCCCCCCCGCCTCCTTAATACTGGGGGGGTAGAGGAGGGGCTGTTCTAGTGACCAGATGAGTTGGCTTTATCTCCTTCTTTAGGATTCTGACTGACGTGGGTGACAACCCCTCACCTGCGAGGCCATCAGTCTAGCACAGTGTAGGGACACACTTGGCTGTAAATCCTAGGCTCTGCCACTTGTTAGCTGTGTGACCCCAGGCAAGTCGTTTAGCCTCTCTGCTGTGCCACAAAGAGTTGTTGCAACATGGAAGTAAGCATGTGTAGCACGTCATAGTTTACAAAGTACTCTTACATCTATCTGCTCTTTGGCCCAAGCCCTGCATTAGTTCTGGTATTTAGAAATTCTGTACCTCCCTTTTTCAAAAGAGAAAAGTGGAGTCTCAGAAGAGAGTGACTTGCCCAGGGTCATAAAAGTAAACCTTGAAGAATCTGGGATTGGAGTCTAGGCCTCTGGCTCAAATTTCAGGTTCTTAGCCCTCAGCCCTGCGGTATTCCCTACCTGCCATCGGGACCCTCACAGGGGACCCTGGGGCTCACGAGGCTACAAGCCCCTCCTGCCCTGGGGCAGCTGGAAAGCACAGATTCTTCACCCCTCACTCAGTCCAGGGCTCAGCTCCAGGAGGTCAGCAGTAAGTGGGACTTTCGACAGTTTTATTGATGAGTCTGAAGGCAGCCCGAGCAGTTCTGGCTCCCAGCCCCCACGCTGAGTGATCAGCAGGCTTCCCGCGCAGCTCAACAGTCCAGGAACAGTTTAACAGCCGGGTTTCCCAGGGCTTCTCCGTTCCCCAGCCCTGGGCAGTGGGAGACACGAGACGCCGCTACAGGCCCGTGGAGGTTGCGGAGGGGTGGTGCCCCACGTGTGCATGTGACAGTACACATTAATGGCTGCTTGTCATTTCTGCACGCTTGGCTGAGCCTGGCAAGTGTCTGACTCCTTTGCCAGTAACATGCAGCAGCACCGATAGTCTTCAGAGGCACTCAGGACAAGAATTTGACAAGGGTAAGAAACCAGGGCCATGCCACCATCTCAGTGCAAGGCAGGAAAAGGCATCCCTTCCTTGTGCTGTGAGGTCATTTGAAGAACAGTCAGGAGCGTGGGAGCAACCAGGGGAGCCAGCTGGAATTAGCATTTTACCAGGTTGCTCAGAAATGATCCACCGTACCTCAAACCTCTGGCCTCCTCTCCCCGGTGAGCCCCTGGAGACCCCGGTGAATCTGCTGAATCGACAAGGAAACCTGGTGTGTGCCTCTTGTGCCTCTGGTTTGGAAGGAGATACTGTGCTAGGGCCTGACATGTAGCTTTAACAGCTCAGTGTACATCTTATAGGTGAGGAGACCAAGGCTCCTGGGAGCTGTAACCCTTGCCCAGGTTGACTCTGGGGTAGGACGAGCCAGCGCTGGAGCGCAGGTCCAGCTGCCTCCTCAGTTACTTCATGGCTTCCATGCTGTCCTAAGGGACACCCCAGTAACTCCACCAGAAGCCTTGGGCGGGTCAGGAAACCAAGTCTTATGGTTCATGCAGTAGAGTTCTATATCCAATTTCATTTGGCAAAAAGATTCCTCTATTTTAAAAAAAAAAGTTTAAAATCCCTTACTTTCCTTCATGTCACCTTGATTCCATGCTCACTGTGTGCTGAGCACCAAGCGGGCTCATTTAGACCTCACCTGGCCCTGCTAGGTGAGTAGACTGGCCATGAAGGCAGCCCACTGTGGTTCAGAGAAGGTAAGCCCTCGGCCACGCCTATAAGCTAAGAAGTGGTAGAGGCCCCAGAGCGGACTCTGACAGGGCTGCCCAGGGTGATGGGGCCACACCGAGACCCTGCTGAGATCAGGCCCACCATTGACTTCCAGACAACCGCTCCGCAAGACACATCCTCTCCCTGAGGAATTGTGGCATCACCCCCTAGTGGATACCAGATACCTTTGCAAGTTTTGACTCCTGAGTCTTTTCCCAGTAGAATGTGTGGGGGGTGTGGGGGTGTGGGGGGGTGACTGCTTGAAGGCCCTTCCTGATTCCTTGATTCCTCCGTGTGCGGTGTACACGTGCATCCTGCAGGGTCAGAAGCTTACAGTGGTGGCTTCAGTTTCTAAGTTGGCTCCCTGTTCCTGACCCAGCGGGAACGCCAGGCTCCTCCCTGCCGTGGAGTCAATGTCCTATTTGTCTGTCTTGCCTGTACAACTGTCTCTGCTGCTGCTTAGAGCTGCTGCAGGGCTCTGCACTGGGGCCAAGGCGCTTCACAGTGTTTCCTTTACTTGCCACGGTACTTACCCAGCCATTCATCACCTGGACTGGAACCTGTCCAGTGGCAAGTGGGGAGGCTTGTAAAAATATTTCCTGTTCTTGCAGATGGTGCTAGCATTTGCCTGCTGCACATTTGTCCGATGAGTCAGTCCCCAGCCTTGTTCCCCTCTGGAGTTGTCATTGTAAACACTTGCCAAAGTATCTAGTCTATAAAATAACTCGAAAGACCTCCGTCCCCCTGGTGAAGAGGAGGCGCAGGGTGCTTTATCACGTTACCCAGCCTGCTCTGAGAGCCTGGGCAAGTCTCCCTTCTCCAGGTTACCCATCTGTACTCTGAAAAGTTTGGACTAGAAGAGTGTATTTTCAGGCTGGCTTCTGTGGAGCCCAAAAATTTCTCAAACTTCAGTGGTGGGGTCACGGGAGAAGAACAAATATATGAAAACTCCGGGGCCAGACTCTCCCTGAGGATTTGCCGACCTTCACCTCCCAGCCTCCGTTGTCCCGCAGCCCTGGGCGTCTCCTCCACTCAGAGGATGGAGACAAGCAGTAGCTATCAGAGGCACAGCCTCGCCCACGTGGAGTCTGGCTCAGGAATCGGAGCCCAGCTCCATGGGGAAGGCCCTCGGAGGGAGAAGCTTCTAAAAAGTGCAGGGGTGCTCCTAATCTGAGCAGCCTTCTTCAGTTCTAAGTATTCCCAAGTGGTTGTGTTCCCTTTCTCCCCGGCGTGCACGCGTATACACGTGCACACGCCACCTTCGCATCCTGTCTGAGACTCACCACTGCCCCGGGTTAAGGGAGATGTCGCAACAGGCGGGGCCAGAGCGCCAGGCAGGAGGGGTGCTGGTGTCTGAGAGTGCGGGGAGGTCCTGGAGGCTGCGAGCATCCTGAGTGCGGGAGGAGGCAGACGCGTGGGCGGGCGGCTTTCCCGACAGGACGCAGGCCCAAAGGTCAGGGGGGGCTCAGGCAGCCACGAGACAGCTGCAGGGAACAGCGAGCCCAGCCTCGCTTGGCGTGTCCTGGTCTGGAGTGCGTCAGGAGGGGTAGACAGGAAAGGCCCCGATGAGGAAACTGGGGTCCAAGGTTCGACTCCAGCTCTGTTCTGTAACCTTTTCCACTGGCTCTTTTCATTAGACCCCAGTTTCCCCGTCTGGTAAATGATGGGGGGAGGCTTGGGTGACCCCAGTTCTTTGCAGCTGAGGTAGCCCATGACTTGGAAAGACATGGCTTTGTCAGTCAGGGCTCAGCTAGGAGAACCCCTTGCCCTCCCTCTCAACTGTGGGAGTCCTGAGAGCGCAGAAGGAGCAGACAGACAGACAAGCTGTGGTTCAGGTGTAATTCTCCTGCAGCCACTGTGGCTCAGGAGTCTTTGATCTGCGTAGCCCGTGGTTCCTGGTAGAGGGGCTGCCTTCCAGAGCCACAGGCAGTGCCGCCCTGGGTGGGAACATCTGGTCCTGGCTGTGAGCAGGTCCTCCCACATCTGCTCAGACTGCAGTGGTGCACGGAGTGGGACAGACTCGAATTCCAGTTCTGCCTCCTCTCCTCCCTGAGCCCATCTCCTCGTCTGGTGCACGGAGTGGGACAGACTCGAATTCCAGTTCTGCCTCCTGGAGCCACATCGTGGTCCAGCGAGATGGCGGTGGTGGCAGAGAGCAAAGATATGGATCACACCTGGCTCCGGAACATCCCTGGGGAAGTGAGGCAGCCTGGGTGCTTGTTCTTTACAGAATGGAAATGTTTCTTGAAATTGCCAGTAAAAGTCACTAAAATCATTTTATCATTAGGCTTAAAAAAGCATGGTAGTGGTCTTACGAAATTAAGTGATAATACAGTTTTCTGTTTTAAGAGCAAATTAGTTATTATGGACAATTTTGATGAATATGTGAGGGGAGAAACATCACCCACATGTAACAGTTTGCTGGTTTGAAAGTGACCAGCGCCTTTACAGAGAGACTCTGAGAGTCAGACCCTCGTCAAGAAGTGGGGTTTTATCAAAATAGGACCTTTTGTGACCTCTGCCTGTGGTATCGGTGGCCGGCACCCAATCCGTGTGGGAGGAATTCTCCAGGCGGGCGCATGCAGCAGGGTGCTAGAGCTGGCTTGTGAGCTGATAACCACCCTTTTCCAGCCCCACATTCAGTGACCTCATGTTGGTGGTTCGAAATTGGCCTCAGTGGGACTGTTTACACCACGGAAGCTCACAAATCGGGTGGTGGGATTTTTCTGCAGATACTACTTTTCAAGTTGGGTCAGCCAGGCTCAGAGTTTAGGGTGACATAGCTGCTGAGTCAGCTGCTCAGCTGAGGTGTGAGCCCATCAGCCTGACTCCAAAGCCGGAATTCCTGATGCCTGGGTCACGCTGCCTTCAGTCTTAGCACATCAGCTATATACATCTCAGATGGCTTCCTTAGAACAGCATTCTGCAGGTGGAATTACACCGTCAGGGGAGGCTTAATGCTGGCCTTGGGGAGTTTTTCAGAAAGCTGCAAAATCAGGGCTGCAGAAGAGGTCTCAGCCCCCTTCCTAACTATTCCTTCTTTGCCTCCTCTTAGCTCTATGGAAGGCGGGCCCCCTGGGAGGATCCTGCCAAGTGGGTGATGGACACCTATCCTTGGGCGGCCAGCCCCCAGCAGCACGAGTGGCCTCCCCTGCTGCAGCTGCGGCCTGAGGATGTCGGCTTCGACGGCTACTCCCTGCCCCGGGAGGGCTCGACCAGCAAGCAGATGCCCCCAAGCGATGCCGAAGGAGACCCGCTGGTGAGTTCTCAGTGCCCAGAGCAGCTCAGCGGTCATTGAGCACTTACTGTGCACTGGGCATGAAGCAAGGCCTGCAGGAAACACAGGCGACTGAGACCCAGCCTGGCTTTGGGAGGCTGGACCCATCCCAGGATGAGGGACACTTCTGCCAAAGTTTTCTTCGGTGGTTTCAGTTTTTCACGAGTCTTTGCCTCTCTGAAGTTGTTTGTGGCAGAAGGTCAAAGATGAGAATTTTATTTTTCCCTCCAGATGTCCCCATACCTATTGTCGCTACACCCCTCTTGGCCCTATGATTTCAGCGCCACCGTTAGCATGTACTGTCCTGCTCCAGCGATCCCTCCCCCTAGTAACCGAGCAGAGGCAGAGCTGGCTAAGGAGCCCAGGCCAGTGATCACACAGGCGGGGAGGGGCTCGCAGGCAGGAAGGCCTGAATGCGGGCCCGTGGCCAGTGAGCTGAGTTCAATCTTAACACTGTCTGAGGGGCTTATTGACACTGCCATTGCTAAGGCAATAAAGGCCCTTTGAGAAGAACCTGGGCCAGCGATGGTAACGCTGCAGCTATAGTACAGTAAGTCCTCACCGTCATCGATAGGTTCTGTGACTTTAAGTGAAACCACATATAATAAAACCACATGTCAGTTACTGTAGGCTAATTGATATAAGTAAGTATTAAGGTCCTGTGGCCTCTCACCAATATTATAATGAAGGATGTTATTTGAGGACCTACTATACTCTCTCTGCCAGTGTAAGACGCATACATAGTAATACTGCAAAATTAGACCTAACAAAGCAAAAGCCCTATGAAATGCGGTGAAAGCAAATGTACCAGAACCTCCCATGGTTAAATACTATTATCATGCCTTACACGGAGCCCTGAGCTCCAGCTGAGGCAAAGGGAAAGCACATCAGAGGATATTACTCGCATTACCTAGTGAAGGAAAATGTTCCTAAGAGATGTGGCAGAATTGAAAGACAACCAATTTACTGTTTTCTCCCTCATGACTATTGATTTGCTAGATTTTAAAAAATAACACTAGGTACTTTGGGTTGTTTGCAGTCCTCCTGACTGGTAGAATGGAGCTGTGGTCCTGCTGAGATTTTTTTTTTTTTACAGGAACTATATTTTAAATGAATTTATTGTTTGTCTTACTATGTACAGCCTGATTTGCCGTGTTTATAACAATGGTTTTACAGAGGAAAGGATCAAACTTTAAAAAGCCATTTCTCAAATTAACCATTGCTAATATCCGGAGTCATGGAGATATTTTTGTGGGTGCAAGCTCACAAGGTCTTACATAAAAATAGGATGTGGGATAACTGGAGGGAAGGATGGCTGGCTCTTTCCCAGATACTCTTTTCTTAACCAGGACTATTTGTATCACTGATTGAACACAGGGTGAGACCTGAGGTTCTCAGAACAGTTACACAGCGTGCTCCTTCCAGCCCAGGCCCCCAGAGTGAGCCACCACTACTTACCAAGAGGCTGGGCCATAGGTCTCTTGCTATAATAGCTCTCTTGTTACTAGTCTCTCCTCTCATGCAACTGAGACCTCCAAGAGAACAGGACTTGCTTGTTTGTATACTGGACCACGTACTGTGGGTATACCAGGAATGTTGATGAGCGAATAAGTAATCTCAGCTGCAAAGGGTTATTCACTGCATTTCAGCTCCACCCTTGCCCATTCAGGGCTGTTGACACCAGCCAATGGTGCTTCTGTGGCCAGGCTCACCCAGGGAGACTGCTGAGCGTCCTGGGGGCCGCTGGCTGGGAGCCGCTGGCTGTCATGCCCAGTTGCACCAAGTCTTGGCCTTAGCTCAGAGAGACCCTCCCTTCTAACTTACTTGCTAGGTAAAATATAAAATCTATACACACACAATTTATAGTTATAAATAAAATAAAAGTAGTTTTTAGTTTCCCACTTCCACTCCCAAACAAGTAACAATAGAGACAATCTATCAGGGAAGATTTAAGAACACTGTCTTGAAACTCATTGCTTTAAGATGGTGATGGTGGTGGTGGTGGTGGTGGTGGTGGTGGTGATGATGATGATGATGATGATGATGATGGTGGTGGTGGTGGTGGTTGTGATAGCAGATCACATTTACTGAGCACTTACTATGTGCCAGGCCAATTAGGGCCCTAGACACATTATGTCATTTTGTTCCCTACTTGAGCCCGAGNGTGGTGGTGATGATGATGATGATGATGATGATGATGATGGTGGTGGTGGTGGTTGTGATAGCAGATCACATTTACTGAGCACTTACTATGTGCCAGGCCAATTAGGGCCCTAGACACATTATGTCATTTTGTTCCCTACTTGAGCCCGAGGGCACAGGGGCTGCTGTTCTGTCCAATCTATAGACGACTCACTGGTGGCTCAGGTACATGAGGCAATTTGTCTGAAGAGTCCTGAATTGGAATCCACGCCTCTCTGTTTTCTGTGGCTCTGGTTGTTCCTGGTGCTGTCCTCCCCATTAAGGCCTTGACGGGGGCTGGGGTACAGACGAGCTTGAGGCTCATGAAGGGGAGCCTTGTGCTTCAGAAGTCAGCGGTGCAGGTGAGCACGTTCCAGAAGCAAGGACCTTGACTAGCACCTTTACCCAGGCTCAGGTTAGGTGTGCCCCTCCCGAATAAAAATAGCTATCATATTTATAGGAGATTTTCTAGTTTGTTCTCAGTGCTCCACATATATTAACTCAATCTCCACCATAACGTTATAGGACAGGTACGATTATTATTCACATTTGACCAATGAAGAAACTGAGACACAAAGAGATTAAGTAACTTGTCCAAGGTCATGCAGCTANTATAACGTTATAGAACAGGTATGATTATTATTCACATTTGACCAATGAAGAAACTGAGACACAAAGAGATTAAGTAACTTGTCCAAGGTCATGCAGCTAGTAAGTGGTGGAGCCGGGATTTGGACCCTGGTAGCCCGGCCAGAGCCCATGCTCTTGTCCCCTGCCTCCGCTGTGGGCTGCTGTCCCAAGGTGAGTCTGGAGGAGCAGGCACGAGCTGGCAGGAGGCCAGGGGTGGGCGGCGGTCTGGCCGGAAAGCCGCTCATGCTCTCCCCTCTTTTCAGATGAACATGCTGATGAGGCTGCAGGAGGCAGCCAACTACTCCAGCCCCCAGAGCTACGACAGCGACTCCAACAGCAACAGTCATCACGACGACATCCTGGACTCGTCCCTGGAGTCTACCCTGTGACAGGGCCCAGCCATGGAGCCTGCCCACCTCACCACCTCGCCCACTGCACCTGCATCCCCTGCACCACCCTGAAGACGCCCTCCTGAGCCAGCCCGGCCGCAGCGTGAGCGCTGCAGGGAGACCAAGGACCCCGCGTCCCGCCGCCTCGACCTGGGTGCCGGCGTCCCGGGTCAGCTGCCCTGGGACTGCTTCCTTCCACAGTGAGAACTGCACTATCTTCGGTTTTACTTTAATGATTGTTTTTGCCTTGTTGCTGTGACCTCCCTAAGACACCGAGGATACGTCTCGGGAAAGGAACATCGCCGTTGAAACGAAAAGGGTTAAAAACAAAAGCCCCATTTGAAGCTCTGAAACCAAACAGCATCCCGCCACGTGCTGCCCAGAGACAGAGAGACGAGCAAAGCTGGAAATGCAGACAGCACGGCTTCCCCTGGGCTCAGACCCTGCGGACCGGGTCTGGCAGCCAACCCACCCATATCTGCACCATCCCCCCACATCCTCACCGACCCCCGTTATCCACACCAACCCAGCCGGCCACGGAGAACTGGTGCTAACGAGGCACTTGCTTTGGTCACACAACAAACGCCAGCACGACCACCCAGGAAAACCTTAGGGAAACCAACCCCCGCGCTCTGTTCTGTTTTGTTTTCTAAATGGTGCTCCCCTTGCCCGAGAGGTATTTCTCCTGTCCTACTCCAGCCACCCCCGTCGCCCGTCAGCCTCGGTGAATCCATGAGCGCGAGTGCAGGAGAGAGTGCCGAGGGGACGTGCCCCCAGCAGACAGCATGTGTCTGTCTCCTTCGAAACGAATCAGGTTTTTTTTCTGCAAACACTGTGTACAGTGAGAGCTGATCTACTTTGGAGAACTGATGACCCCTTGAGGTTGAGTCTCTCCCTTTCTGACTCTTTGGTTTTGAAGATTTTTCTCCCTCCCCCACCCCCCCTTGGTCAGAATCAATCCTTTGGTGAAAGTGAGAACCGCAGGAGTTGAGTCTTGGTTTTCAGTTGTCCATCCTCACAGTTCTGCGCACACGCCTCCCGCT